TCTGCTTAATGAACCTAATGACCCCTCTTGGCATCTGTCCCAGTATAAATTGATTTTGCTTGGAAGTAGGTGACTAAAATTCTAGATAACATCTTGTTGGTGCTTTACAAAACAGCACTGATATTTCTACGCCCTGCCTGGCAATTTAATTCCTTTTCCTTCAGGGCAGGTCATGTTAGTGACCCCAGGTGGTCTTGTGATCAATTAGTACACAAGTGGCACCTTTGCATCTTTCCTTCCCCTCTGTACACAAACCAAGCATGGTGACTGCACAAGTCACATTCAGGCTGACCCAGCAGCTCCTTCCTCTAAAGCACCTCTTGCCCCCTACACCAGCCTTGGCCCAGAAATGCAGAATTGAATGGATGAATGGTATTTCACCCAAAACAAAACTTTGCCTCTGAACACCTCCCATTTGTCAACAATCCACAGACCTTAAATGAGTGGCACAATCTACACCTTTCTCATTTTGCCTTCCCTGTACACTACTACCTGACACTTCTCTCCAAAAAGGCCTCCCAGCTACCCTGCTTGAACCTGTCTTGTCAAAACACTCTACACACATCAGCCTCTGCACTGCTCAGTCATCCACGGAGTCAGGTTTTACACGGACTCAGGGCCACCCTTGGCTGGTTTTCCTAGCACCGACAAAATGGGTGCTAGGAAAAAATAGAGATTCCACGATAGTCTCTATTGCTCTGTCCTCTTCCTACTACACTAAAAAATACTGGAACAATGCACAAACTCTTGCTCAAGCAATGCCAGTTACGTACTTCATTATTTCAGGGAGAACATTTTGCAATGGCTAAAAATAGTCCTTGGGTTTTATGTTATTTACTTAAGTGTGTGTTGAGCAGTCTAACCTTAGCACAGATAAACAAAGTATCCCAGAGAAATTTTAGCACAATAATCTACATGTCCTGAGGGAAAGTCATGCCTCAGAAGCTTTCAGTTAGAAAGCAATAGGAAAATGGAATTTGAAGTGCAGCTGACTATACATTATTAAGCTGATCATTTCACAGTACTTATTTCTATTATTTCGTTTGACTGCAAGCATCCCAAAGGTGGGAGGTGTGTCAGGACCCTGAGGAAAGCTGAGTTTGATCTATCAGGCCCATTGAATGGCTCCATTTGTGCTGCACCTCCCTTTCCCAGTGATCCCAGAACTGTCTCATTTGAGAGACACAGGGGCCACCCGGTCTGGTGGCGACTCTTGTGCACTGCTGGCACTGCTTCCTGCAAACTTCTCCTGCACCCTGCTGCTAAGGTGCATCAGAAAGGGTTCAGCTTGCCTATTTAAAACCCAGCTGTGTGTCACGCAACACTGCTACTTACACCATGCTCAGAATGCCCCTCTTGGATATGTATTTTCAGTTTTGTAAAACACACCCGGAAGCCACAGTTTTCTTTTCCCCTCAGAGCCACTACTTTATTCAGCATCTAAACCAACAGAAGTCAGGAATAGAAGTCTGTTTCCACTGGGTGAAAACATATCAAGTGCTTTGTGCTACAGCCTTCATGGCAAGACACAAAAGTCTCTAAGTCATGCCCATTTTCGCACTGCAATGCCAAACCAGATGTGGGACCAGATTTACTGTAAAAGGCTTCTTCTGGCCCATGAATCGTCTAGAAAATCTCTAATGCCCTGAGCACAATTTGGAGTAATTATAGCCTCACTTGTAAACCCAATGAGATTTATCATTTCACATAATTTTGACACAAGCCCAGTTGAAACTAGGTGGATTTTTTCACTTTTTGGTTCCTGCCAAGGCTTCAGGATGGTTTCATTCCCTCAGCAAAGGCATTAACTCAGTTTGGCAAAATGAGATGGTGACAGTTTGTACCTGGTTTCAATATGTCTATATTTGGGATATTTTAACATAGATTGTTGTTCCAGTGAAATAAAGAAAGGGTTTTTTGAGGGTTTAGCAGAGTCAGAACTAAATCCCCAAAACACAGATCTATTTGAAAAACATGTTTTTCAGGAAAACAAAAAGAAGCTGTTCCCAGGACCTCACTGATACATACTGATGCAGACACCCACAAAGTATAGTTGCTATTTTTTAGGACCAAGTCTCACTAGTTCCTTGTTCTTTATTGCTGTCATTTTTCAAGGTTTGTATTGAGGATCACTTCCAATGTATCCATCTAATGTAGCGGCCAGGGAGAGAGGAAGTAGTTTGTAATAATGTTGAAAAAAGAACAAGCCAAAAGTCAATCCTGACACGAAGAGACTCTGCAGTTGATACTGCCAAGGAGAGGAAGAGAAAGGGGGTATTAAAAACATGTCAGAATTTCTTATCGGAGACCACACTCCATAGCAGAGCTGGGAAAAAAGCCTCAAGCCTTTTAGCTTTCAATCCACAGCCTTAACCTTCTATACCAGTCTTGTGAACACTCATCTTACACTGGGGTGTCATGTCCACCTCTTCTTGAGTATTTATTCTGCTTGCAAGCTTCATCACAGGTCCATTTACATCAAAGCATAGGAAAATTGGGAAAAAAATGCAAATGAGCCACAACCAGAGGCTTGCTCTATTAAGCTTAATTAGCCAAGCAGTGCTCCAGGAGCAGCTGAGGCACTGCATATCCTGTCTCAGAGGGACACAAGGCTGGACAAGACTGCCTGTCATGACAGCCATGTTCTGGAGGCAATGAAAATGGGAAAGGGGCAATTACAGAAGTCCACGAGCCTGCTGTGTCATTTTGTGCAATGTCTGTTTTGTGTCATGTCTCATGCAACAACTGTGCTACGTAAAAGCAATTTGTGTAAAACTACCTTTTCCTGAGGAACTGGGGTGCAGATACAGACACAGCTCTAGGGGACTGAAGCTCAGACAGAACCTGATAAGTCTAAACATTGCAAGACACTAATTACCTCAAAGGGGGATAAAAACATACAGATTCATGGAGCTGTGAAAAGATTATTTGGCCACAGATTTACCTAGAAAAAAAAAGAAAAAGTTGGCCACTGAACTTTGGGGAAAATTATTACAGATACTGTTTGGGGAAATAAATGGGTCTGTTGGACCAGTGTTGAATAAGAAGAGGATTTCTTTTAAATGAGGAACACCTTCGGAAATTCTGGCCAAGCAGCACTGTGGGCAGTAAGAGAATAAAAGAATTAACAGACAGCAAATTATTCAGTAGTAAAGCCACTAGTGTTTATACCAGGAGTCCTTCTGTGAGGAAGAGGCTTCTGTGAGCCAGTAACACAGCAGTAGCTGATGTTTATAATGTGGATGCACTCTGAAACAAGCTGAAGCTGCCTGAAAGGAAGAGTCTTTTTTTCTTTTGGTGTTTGAGCAGCACCTTGTTGGTGTTTTTCACCAACTCTGTGGCCATCAGGAAGGATTGCCAAATTTCTTTTTTAGTTCAAGTAAGCTTGGAATTTGTTATGCAACCAAAAAATTTTAGAAAGCAATGGGTTTCATACATGGAAGAAAAAACTTCCATGTCCATTCAAAATAACAAGACACGCTGTTGGCACCAATCTGGACACACAGCATCAGTTTGTCCAGCTTTGGAAAATGCGAAGCTGGGAGTGAAGGCTTTGACTTGAAAGAGATGGGAAAACCTACGTCATTATATTTTTGTGCTCAACAAATTGCAGCAAAAGCATCTGGTTATTCCTCTTAATTTAAAATTAATGTTTCATTTCTGGAGGAAGGAAGGTCCTCAGACATGTCTCCTTACATTTTCTGCAAGATTTGTATTATTTGACTTTTCCAGGAGCATCTATCCACATCCCAGCTGGATTTTTCTATTCAAAATTACAGCTCAGAGTTTGCAAACCTATGATGAGACTTCTGAGGATCAGGCAAATGCTCTACCTCTCCACTGGCACAGACAACAGCAATCTGCTCAGTGCAGCAGAATTTATTATCAAAAGAGTTACACACACCAACAAAAATATAAATTATTTTCATCGGTAAGAGACATCTTTTGTCAATATGTCACAGTTTGCCCTGAGGACTGTGCAGGTTAAGAAAATAATACTTTTACTTCATCAGAATAACAAATCCAGTCTACTCAGGCCTGGATATTCTAAGGTTTCCAAATGCCTTAGGACCTTATCTGCCTTCTGCCTGCCCAGTCAATTTTAGAGGTAACACACCCTCGCAGCCCAAATACATGGTTGTAACTCTTGCCTTTGCTAAGGAAGGTTCATTTCTGTGGGAAGCAGAATTTCCAAACATGGCCCATAGTGGCAGAGGTGTCTGCAGGCTCTGGGTCACCATCTGACAAGGAAAAGGTGCAAAAGGGAGAGGAGTCCTGGTTGCTAAAGCTTGGTGTCTGCCCCTGCTTTCAGCTGCAGCAGTCCAGCGCAGATCAGATCACAGGCCAGAGAGCTCAGCTAACAGGTTTTGTGGCCAGCTTGAAGCTGTCCCCAGTCATTTTGGGACACATGGTCATACTCATAAAAGCAGGAGCTGGTATCTCTGCCAGGCTGCTGCACCTGCAGAGGTGATAACCTCTGGGCCAGGGCAAGGCAGGCAACATGTTTTTGTGGACCTGAATCTGAAGCCCTGATATTGCCACCTCAAAATGAATTTAGCAGCCATAGAGGTAGGACTTGCAGCCAGCTTGGATCATGAAGCAGAAGGGAAATACACTCTTAGGAAGGAGACCAGCATGACCATCTGCTGGACATTAATGCTTTTCTCCTGAGTTAATTAGATTTTTCCCTGCCTTGATCTGACTTTTCTGAGCTGCAAGTCTTTTTTAACACTGTAGCAAGGCTAGAAAAATCCTCAGGAATTAGGACTGCCAAGTAAATCATGATGATAAAATGAAATCATCACCCACCATAGCTCCACAAGTTTAGTAACTATAGGACAGTCACAGATGAGCACTGGACTCTCCCTGTGGAGTTTCTGATTCGAGGAGCACTCCACCCGAATATCTGACAAATATGTGTAGCTTGCCAAAACAAGGCTTGACAAGTAGAGAGGAACTAAGAAAAACCGGAAGTAGTTTCTCTTTTACCAAAAAAAAAATAAAAATAGGGGAGACAGAGTAAAAATGTACTCCTACAGCCAAGCCTTCCGTATGGAGCCAATGGGCAGATGTGGTTTCCTTGGACTCCTCTGACCTACCGAGGACACGAGAAACCTGATGAGAAGGGTCAGAGGAGGGAATCAGGAACGGAGTCCCTTGCAAGGTAAGTGCTGCCCAGCAAAACCTCTCTGTTTTGATTGCTGTGTTCCGGAGAGGAGCTGCTGTTCAGTAGCTGAGCCAGAGCCTGCAAGCCTATAAACAACCTGGTCCCTCTCCATTTAGATGTGCAGTGACCTTGATTTTTTTAACAATGTAGATTTGAAGTCCATGCTTGTTAAGGGCTAAATTAATTACTGTTTTACCTTCATGGGCTTATTTGTTGAAATAATTTTTTCTGTGTGACAACTGACCATCCCAATTTAACTCCTCTGACTGTCTGGATCCTCGTAAGATGTTTAATGAAGATATGTTTCATGAATAATCCAGGAAGTCCTGCCTCATTTCCAACAGCAAATCAGGAAGTTGGCTGATAGCAGTGAATTTATTTGCCACTCCTGTTTGAAACGGGGTCAAAACCCATGTACCTGGTGTTTGCCAAGAGGAAATACATTTTAAACTCTTCTGGACAAAGGCCATCCTTATTCCAAGCTGTGTGTTACCAAATAGATCATTATCTTTAATTATACCACTGATTGTAATTGTCAAATACGCAATTTTTGGTTTCCTTTTCAGCACTGAGTTTACAGTAAAGTAAGCTTCAGTCAGTCCTGGAAGCATCAGGATACACTGATAGTTCTCTAAGCAGAAGTTTAGTATGTGACAAAATTAAAATATAATTAAAATAGAGTTTTAAAGACAAAAGACATCACTCTTTGCATGTGCAGATTTAAACCTAGGTCTGCCTCAGTCTATCCTGTTCATTCCAAGGCTTTCTAGCCTACAGATTTTCATGTGGCTGAATTTACATTACAACCTTTTTTTCTTTATTTAGGCAATGCACAGTGATGGAGGAACATAATGTAATTGCTGTATTTTCTAGTCTGTGGTGGTGGGTGAGCTGTTTTCTAATGCTAGTGGCATTTGATTTCTGAAGTAAAATATGTTTTGGTAAGAAAGCATCTGTGAACATTATTTGAATAACGACTACAAAGCTGTGTCAGCAGTACCTGCCCCTCTTTCACTTTCTGCAGCTGTTCACAACTGCTCTGGGATTGTACAGAGAATGAGTTTGAGTGTTCAGGAAATATTATGTGGTGACCTGCCACAAGCAGCCCAGCCTTTTTCCATGTCACCATTCAGGGCATGACAGGATATGACAAAAGGTTAATGAGGATATGACTTCAGACACATTTTGTATTGAAAGCAGCAAATGCATTGTTTTGCCCTCTTTCAGACTATTTGATATAACTATTTCCTGATCTAAAAAATACACTTAAAAAAATGTCCGTAGAGTAAATTTGGTAAGTTTTTTGCAACACCGGGGAATTTGTACTGAACTGAACACTTCTGCCAAAAAGACAAAGCAAGGCTGGAGACACCTGTGTAGCAGCCTGACCTCACTAAAAGCAGCCCTCATCAACGTCCTTGTAAATTGCTGAAGTTGGCATCCACTAGCTGCACATCCAACAGATGGACCTCCCCAAGCCAGGAAATAAGAGAGAAAATCCATCTCAGTGCTGAGCCTTCCTCTGAAGCAATGCTACTTCACAGGATCAGCTAAAAAAAGTTAATCTTTGCTGGTAGAAATGTGGTATGAACAGTAGGCAAAGCTTCACCAAGAATGGGCATTGGAGTGGGCTGAGGTTAGGTGCATGGAACGTGAATTTTTTTTGCCTGCTTCTCAGGAATATAAAAGAGAGCTGATAACAGCAACTTGTGCTTCGTTAGAGAAGCCACACTGCCTCTTGGGATGAGCTGTAACTCTCCCACTAGAAGAGCCAGGGGACCCACTGTGGCTGAGAGATATAGCCTGCAACTGGATAGCAGAAATAAATGAACATGTGGGGACCAAGCTTTGAAGATGGGTGAGTCAAAACACCTCAGAGCAGGAGCATTCATAATTCAGGTCTGTGACAGAGGATATGAGAGAAGTGGCAACAGGGAAGGAGGAATCTGGTTTTTCAAGTGTGAAGAGGGATGAGGAAGGGAGAAGTAGTTTGGGGAAGGTACGGCATTCTCTGAACAGTCCACATGAATTCCTGCTGACAGTCATCCCACCTACTCTTCTCCCAAAAGTGAATTTTTCTCCTTACCACTACACCACGCATTTTAATTTGCATGGTTTGCCACAGAGAGCACAAACTTGATGGAGCTGTTACACAAAAAATTCCTGTTCCTACTACGTATCTAGCCTGTCCTCCTACATTCAAACTTAGGACTGTTCTCTGCTCCTGGAGTTTGCCCTCAGTAATCAAAGTGGGCTAATTGATAATGACAGTTAAGATGATTTTACAGTTACTCTGAATAACTTCAGTGGTAGGTTATGACTTGTTTTTTTGCAAACAAAATAATTTTCATTACCTTACTCTCACTTAAATTTGCTCTTTCAAAGCAAATCATTCTTTAAGTGCCTGACCATACAAGCTTGGTGGCAGGCCTTTTATCAGTAGTATATTTTAAATAAATATTGATATTTAAAAGAAATTTTAAAGTTATGTTTTTAAGAATCAAAACTGGAAGCTATAGTTCTTGCCACCCAGTGGGAAAACATTTTGAATTAATCACACGCTAACCAAAGAGTATGTCATGAATTTCAAACACTTCAAACACTCTTAACAGCATCTGGGGAACAGCCTGAAAAGCAGAGACTCTTTTCTGCCTGTGAATGATACAACAAATAGTAAAATATGTGAAATATATTCCATTACTTGGTTTGGCGCATGTGGTGGGCTGTGCCCAGACCCTCAGACTGTCCAAGATCACATCAACAGTTCTTCTCAGACAGAAGTAAAAAATAAATCTAAACAGATTCACAGAAGTTTTAGGCAGATCAGCATATTACAGAACAACAGTTAATGGCCCTCAATTAATCTTCACAATCCCTCTGATTTAAAATTCAGTGATTGTGTTTACATGGCATGACAAAAAAGCTGGAAGGGCAATATGCCCCATAATTTATGCACCGTTTATTCTTTTTGGAGAGACTCAATACATTGCCTAGACATCTTCCCTTGGGTAAGGAACAATCAGGGATCAGACCCATATATATATTTGTGCTCTTCTCTCTGCCTAATTATTGATCAAGGTCCTCCTGGTTCTGTGCCTGAAAAGCATTGGATTCTCTGCTCAAAAGCTGTATTCCAACTGTGCCTGTTGTTGAATCATGGGTACCCTGCCCAGGTGAAGGAGCTGGAACTAGGTAGTGTTTAAGGTTCCTTCCAACCCAAACCATTCCATGATTCTGTGATCTTCTACTTCTCTTTCAGAGAAAGTGTAATCTTTGTTTTTGGACTTTACTTGTTCTTGTGGAAATGACTGAAATATCCATGCATTCAGCATGAACAGGAAAAGCTCTAAAGGATTCTGTGGCCTTTAGGGATGCTTAAACCAGAGCTGGTCTAAGTTCTGTGACATTTTTTCTCTAAGGTAGCTTGTCAATCTGTTGGCTACCTCCCACCAGTTATCTGATCTTAGAGAGGGCCCAAAAGGCTCTGCTAGAGGAATATCAGGGACTGAAACACCTGAGAGAGGTTATTTGTTCATGTGTTCATGGAAAGAATTAAAGACGGGAAAATGACTTTTACTTTACACATCATCTGTATGAAATGCAAGAAATGACCTCTTGTCACCGAGGTTCAAAGGTTGAGGGATGCTGCCTTGGCTCGCTGGGCACCAGCGTGTCCTTTCTTCACAAGCTCCACATGAGGTGCTGAGGCAGGCAGTCATGATGGCCTGCTGCAGGGACTTGGTTACAGGGGGTAGATGAATCACTCACATCCCTATCCCCCCTCTTTGCCCCAGGCCACAAGGAAACAAATCTGCTTTTACTAAATTTCACCTCCCTCCAAATAATAGCTTATTTCTCTCTGAATGGATGAACTCCTGTCTGCCAATACAGCATCTCTAAATGCCTCAGGCAGGACACCTCAGCAGGACTTTATTTTGCCTTGCATTACTCTTGTATGGCTTTCTAAAAATAAGACATCCTTGTGTGACAATAGCACTGATTGTTTCTACTCCACTTCAAAGTAGTACAGAAAATGTTCTTTTTCTAAAATGTAACCAAAGAGCTTCAGAGATTTTGATTTTCAGAGGGGCTTTCTCCTTCCCTCTTAACACAAAATGTCTTGATCTGAGGTGAGGGAAGAGGAGGCCTTTACAATCATTTGAGCCCCCATGCAGGTACACAGCTCACTTTTCAGCCCAGCTAGGGACATGACCCACTTCAATGGAGATGAGAAAAGAGCTCCTTTCTTGCTTTTCATGAGACAGATATTCTTCAATTTATTTTATGGCTACAGATGACATAGCTGTCTAGAGGCACTCTGGTGAGGAGAAGCAAGGAGGAGAAGAGCCAGTGTGGGGGTGGAGAGCTGCAGCTCTGCCCCTCCATTTGATGTGGTCTCTTTTAAAGGTCACCCACTGGGACCTGACATCAATCAAGCTATTTTAGTAAAAATGAAGATTTATATAACACATTTGTGCTATAGGTCTTGGCTCTTCTTTCTTAAATTACTTAAAGCAATATAATAACTTTCACAGGCATATCATAGGAGATTGCCAACATTTCAAACATTTCCTTGATGTAGGATGATCACAATTGAAAGGAATGTGAATTTTATCCAGCTGTCAGTAAGGTTTTGTTTTCCTTAATCCCTGAGACTAAATCATTGGATAGTTTTCAGCCTCCAAACTAAATCTTAATTGAGTCTAGCTGTCATTTAGGCAACTGCACGACTCTTATAGCTAAAGCACCTGGGTACATTTGAAGAAAGACTGGGACAATCTCTGGGATGGGGACACTCACACTTCTCATTAGTGTGAGCTGGTTGTGCAAGAGAATTCTCTAGCACACAGGAAAAAAAACAATCAAACTTTCTTATCAGTAAAAAAGTTCCTTAATTTGAAGTGCTGTTCTACTGAAACCTGTGAGAGGTGCAAGGCAGCCAGAGTTCCCACAGACTGGAAATAAAGCTGGTGGTTTGTGCCCCCATATGCCATTTT